CAGTCGTTTATTCGTTTTATTTTATTCGGATAGCATTTACACGCGATATGCTGTGATAGAAAACAGTGCTAGGTATGACTGAGTTGGTATATTTAAGCACTTTATTATCAGCTAATTTCTGTCTTAAGAATTTTGATAATATACAATCGCTTGCACGTCAGTTTGGAGGCTGGACACAGCATCGCTATATTTCACTCTGCGGGGCACCACGTTTCCAGTGTTGTAATCGATTACATTGCAACAGCTACCTTCAATTCACACAACACATGACTGGTCGCCATCATGCAGTTTTATATCGCGACAAACTGGCGCCTTTTTAAGAATACCCAGATTGTTGAGTAACGATTAGAATCACAACTCTCGATATTTTTTCTCGGAGTACCTTGGATTCCAGTATTGTCAGCTGCTCACACATCAATATTAACGTTTTAGTCATTAAACTAAATTGTATAAGTGATGCAGTTTTTTTGTGTAGCACAGGGAACGCCCAACCGCAGCTGTAATAAAAAAGAATGAATTTTATTAACATATACATGTACAAGCAATGCTCCCCCTAACCTACAACGTCAACACCATCGCTTACAAACCCTCGACAATACTGGTGACAAGAAAGTCAAATTACTGCTCATTGGATAACTAACTTCACTTGGGTGACGAATCAAATAATTGTTTTATTACAATAATTGATCTTTATTAATTGAAATGAACATATGGTGAAATGCGATGATGAAATACGGCTACCGTACTGGAATTGTCCTTTGATAATTACCATACTACAGGCATTGTGGACAGGTGTCATTTTTACCTGAGCAATTTTTGCCGCGCACCGTGGAACAGTAATGTCTGACAATGGGTCACCCCTTGGTTGCTATGGCAACATGTACACGCTTTTCCTCACAATTCACACCTTTTGATATGAAATTATTCTCTTAACAATGTGATTACCATATTCCACGGCAGCACTTGTCAATAAATTTGGTTGTACTTTGAAAATTTGACCCATTTGTGTTTAGTAGTCACTATGCTTTTTCTGTGTTTTTCAACTTTGAATAATAAAATTAACTATGTCACTGGGACTCCCATCACATATAGTTCGTTAGTGCAGGCATTCTGTCTTTTACCTCCATGGTGCATGGAACTACGAACCACGTACAATTAGTTTCATGGTTAGTGTTTTAAATTTACGCCGATGATTTACTAGACAATGAGAGATACGAATGTGTCTCGGTTTTGAAATACAATTCTTTGTCACGGAATAATGGCCCATCAGAGGCGTTAACTAATAGTGAATATTAATCACTAAGAGGAAAAACAAATTTCTGTAAGCGCTTAAAAATAGGTTCTTAAAACAGTCAGGACATATTTATGTATGGTTAATCGCACGAGTTAGAGTACGTTTACAACTGTAAATGTCATAGTTTTTTGTCAACGCGCGAGGCCGAGATGCGATTAA